CCCCTCTGCAGCGTGCAGCTGGTGGGCCGACTCCACAAAGGGAAAAGCCTGCTCTCACCCACTGAAGAGAGAACAAGGAAGAAGGGTCTTATTTCTTTAAAGGATGCAGAGATGTTATGGGCGGGGGGGGGGAGATTAGAAAAATTGTTCTTCCCTCAGCAGTTAAAAGAGGGATAATTGGAGCAAGTGGCAGGCGGCTGTTCTGCCATTTAGCATACAGCATACCCAGGAAATCTCACTTGGTAATCAGGAGGAGAGGAGGAAAAAGGAGCAATCAGACCCCCATTCAGGCTTGGTTTAGCGACAGCCCCTGCTGGCTGGCTGGGCTGGTAGTGTCTCAAGGCTGCATGCTAGGTGGGAAATCACGTCCCTGGAGCACAATCCCTCCTTTGTGTGCATTTTAAGGCCTTGCCTCCATGCCACCTTCTCCATAACAGAGAGAAGCACTGGAAAAAGAGCAGTTCCCATCTTCCCTTCTGATTACTCACTACTCCCCTGCCTGACCCATCCTCGCAAGGCCACTCAGAGTTGACACAGATTAGGAACAATGCCGTGTCACAATTCCAGCAGGGTGTGCACTGGGAAGGAGGAAGACAGGTGACTGCGTTTTTACGCAAATGCCCAAAACAGGAAGATCCAGCAGGGGAAAGTGCTGGTCCCTTAACTTCATGTCTGATGTCTCTCGACCTCAGTACAGGACCCGGGATAAGCAGTGTCCTTCCTCTCAGTATACGCCACGCCATCCTCATTCTGGCTTTGAGAAGAGGGGAGAAAGTCGCACAATTCTCAATAAAGGAGAAAAGTAATTGAAATTCACTTTCAGGAAGTGAAGGCCACACAGTAGTGTGGAGACATCCATCAAACCAACCCGAGTAGAATGTCAGCCTTGGACGGCAGGAGGGGTGGGGCATGGTCACTAGCAGGTTCCACACAGCAATGTGTGGCCCCCATCACAAACACCCTCTGCTATGCTTCACTAAAGGGTCCAAACACCTGAAAACGTTAACAGCTGAGACTCCAGACAAGCAGCTGTGGGTTTCGGCAGCTGCCCAAGTCAGGAGGAAATGATAGCAGACAGGGAACCATTTTTTTCCTTGCCCCTGGAACAGGGCACCATAATACTTCACTGAATTAACCTAAAATTGTGTTCACATGAATGATATGTGATATAGGACAGCCCTGTCCTGAGATCCAAAAAGAGAGACCAACCTATGAGCCCTTCTCCATTCCCTGGTCCCAGCCTACCTGCAACAGGCTGACTTCACATGAAATGAACCCTCTGGGGAAACTGGTATGAGATTTATATATGTTGGCAGTGAACCAATGCTTCACAACCATAAGGCTGTTGAGAAATTCAGTACATGCACATTCATAACTAAGAATGTTCTTAAAATAAACCAGTTTAAACTCATTTCAAGGCAATAACAAACCCTCAGTGACCCATGAAGGAACTATAGGGGCCGAGAAAGCTCAGGATATCTCTTCACTGGTCGCTGAGCTTCAAGGCTACCCATAACAGGACTGAGCTAAACAAAAAGCCAGGTAAAAATGCTATACTATGCTTTAGCTTGACTATATTCTGAATCAGCTATACATAATTTTTAAATTATTTTGAAATATTTGTATTTCTTCTGTCTTCCAAGACCTTTACTGGTTGAGCACCAAAACATTTTATTTACAAGCTTAACACCCAGAAGTAAAAATGTGGGATCACTTCTCTATCCATTCGTCATAAGCCATGATGTTCAATGTGACTATTCACAAAGTTGGGAGTTTTGGAATGAAGTCTTCTCAAGTAGGAGGGACAGAATTCGGTCTACAGCTACAGTTAACAGTCTGTCACCAAATGAAAGACAGAATACTGTGTGAAGTATCTCTTACTTCTGGCCCAGGTCTCCCATAGAGAAACTATCCCTAGTGTCTTCTAAGCCTTCCCAAGAGGAAATCAGAACATCCCATAGTACATAAAAGAGATTGGCCTATCTGTGCACGCTTCCTGGGGTGCAGCATGGAGACATTTTGGGACTATCAAGGTGTGAAGAGCCAAACAGCCCACACAAACAGCAATTATGCAGGTTGGCTACCAGCCAAAGGACAAAAAAAAGACACCTCCAACAGGCCCCGGCCACATCTGTGTGACACTGCAGGAGCCCCCGCAGCTGAACCTGCTCTTGAAACTGCTACACATGAAGTAAAAACATATTCCATGCCAGGTGCAAGACCTCATACAATCAAACGGCAAAGCCTATCCTGCAGGTTGGGATATACAGAGAACACACTGTCAGCAGTAAGTCCTAGTGTTTCAGTTCTATGCTGTGTGCAACTGAAGGGGCAGTTGCATTTTCAATACTCACTCCCACCTCATCATCTTTAAGAAAGTGGACAAGCATTTGTTTAGATTGTTTATTTTGTTTTAAGCAAATATGCTTCACACATAGCAGCTGCTGTGATTTTTCCCTTACCGTTTTACAGTGAGTTTTTCATTTACTCTCTAAAAATTAACTATGTGTGGAGGCAATGGATGTTTTCTAATAGTCTGGTGTACTCTGTGATTGATTTGACATGAGGACAATTACTGGAATCAACAGGCTTCAAAGTACCGACAGTAAATTCTGTCACCTCCCCCAACATCTGTCCTCACTTTTGTGTCGATCTGCTCCAGGCCAGGCAAATGTTACTGTTAGGACAGAGATTATTTACTGTATTTATGTATCAGGAGAATAAATGAGTTATTCTGTTTGCCTTCTACAGATACAGTTATCAGTCCACAGCCAAGAAACGATCCGAACTTTGTAGAAAGAACAATTATTAAAACATACATATTGCATTTAGCTATTAAAAACTGACTGAATCTATTGTGAAGAAATTCCACTGGAGATTGGAAAGCACACACATACAAATAAATGAAAGAAAAGACAGATTATATACATATATAGTATAGAGCTTCTTCCGGCAGAAAAGTGCTGATCCAAACCTGCCCAGAGGAAATGAGTTCTTTTTAAACACAAAAAAATGCAATCAGGGATAATCAGCAAGTTAACAACACACTTGCATACACCCTGGTCCTAGAAAGGAAGAATGCCAGCTTTCAGTGGAAGTTCTGAGAACAGAACAGATCCTTTGGGTAAATGAGAAAACAAGTGATCATGTCAGCATCTGCAGGCAGAACTTTCTCCAAAGCCAAGAAGCTTTGGAACACCAGTTAACTCCAGAAGGCACCTGCTCATGAAAAGCCCTTCGGTCACCCATTCCCAAAGTGGTTTTGTGGACTAGGGTTTGCCTCCGCCCTTCTTCTCCACCCCTCTTCCTGAGGGGTTCAATAGGGAAATATAGAAGCCCTAAAAGGATAAAGTACATGTCTGGCATCTTCCTCTCAGACAGACCATCCACGGGAAGGGAGATACCATGCCCAACCCAGTACAGGAAAGAAGCAGAGGCCCAGGGAGTATTTCTCTTATAGCCCATGCATGACCTACAGTGAGGCCTCCAGCAGAAGCTCCACCACCTGCGGAATAAGCTTTGTTTGGATTTTTTAAAAATACATTAAAGCAGCTACTGGTATCTAAAGTTTATATCAACCACAACCTGCTTTAGGGGTTAGGAATTCTGGAAATGTTTCAGGAACACCTGCAGACACAGTCATTAATTACAAATCCCAGGAAATGGGCTCTTACCTGAATGAAGGGACCCTAAGAGTTGGGGGCAAGTCCTCACCTAGCCTCACCCTCAACTCCCTCCGCTTTGCAACAGCTGATTCTTCACCTTGAATGCATTTTGGAATTATGTGGGAAACCTCGAAAATATATAAAATGCTTGGATCTGAACCCTTAGAGATTCTGATTTAGTGATCTTGGGGTGTGCCCTGGAAGTTTCTAAGCTCCCCCAAGATGATCTTAATATGCAACCAAGGCTGAGAACCACTGATCTGCCTTACGCTATGCTACCTTCCCACACTGGTACACAATACATCTCTTGAAGAACCCAGAACCTTCCTAGCCCAGGAAGGACAGGAGAAATTCAACTTCCTGCCTCCTAGTCACTCTAATTTCCCAAAATACATACCTGTCCAGTCAGTTCCCACAGACTTGGTCACCTCCATGGTCCCTCCTTCCCAAATCCAAGCCTGTAGTGAGACCAGGAGTCCAGGAATTTGAGTATTAAGTATTTGTTAAATAAAGGCTGCAACACTTCTCTCAGTTCTAATCCCAAACAGAATTCAGTGCAGGAGATGAGGGCAACCCATGAACTTGGGCAGGCATCCTTCTTTCATCTCTCTGGGAAATGTACCTAAATTGAGTCACTGGAGAACCTTGGCACAGGGTGGAGATCTTGTGGAGCAAGGCTACTCCAGTTGATCCCTGCACCTAACACACTGGACAGGAAAAGCAACTGTATCTCAAGAGGAACCTCACATGAAGAATTCTTATTGCTAGAACAAGAAAGAGAGGCAGATGCCTCATCTGCCCTCTAGACCCCTCCTGTGGTGGGGGGGGGCCACAACAGGAGGACTGGATATACAATAGGGTCATGCATGAACCATGCAATCCATCTACACTCCTTTTCTGCACAGGTACTCCTTATAATGGGAGTTAAAATGGGGGAGGGGGAGGGGGAGTTTCCCATCCATCCCCAGAGCTCAGGTCTCAAAAGGTCAGCAGGAACAGAAACAGCCCCTCTGCCTATTGCTACCTCAATTCTTGTCCCGTGTTGATCCTGCTAAGCTGTGCTGCAGCAGAAGAAGCCATGCTGGAGCACAGACCCTGCAGTCTAGTTCATCTAGCCCTTCCAGTGGGGTACAGAGCTTGTGGTTGAGCAGCCAGCCTTCACTTCCTGTTGAGATCTGTTGGATTCTCCATTGAGAGCAAGCAGAGGATTCCCATGCCTCTTCAGGGAAAGGGGTCCAATTAACATTAGGCTAAAAAGCCGTCTTCTCTCAGTTATCTGGCCCTCACCCAAACCATACAGGTCTCTAGCAAGAGCAGGAGTGGAAAAAGCCTTACCTTCTGAGCAGAGCGTGCCTCCATAGCCAGTGGTAGAACAGTCACAGGTGGGGTGGCCATCCAGAAGGAAGCAGATGCCACCATTCTCACAAGGACGCTCACCACAGGGTCCCTCGGCTTCCAACTGGACACCCTGGCTCCCCAGAAGCCGGGGCCCTGAGTTGCCATACTTAAGATCCAGGATGAGACCCCTGAAGCCGGGTATGGCCTGTACTCCATCCAGGGTCAGGGCAGAAGACCGTATGTCAGCAGGGACTCCACCAAGAAACAAGTCACTGACCACATCCATGTAGGGCCGCTGGGGCTGCAGCTCCCCCAGCTGGCTCTCGCCATCAAGCACCAGTGCTGTACGCAGGCGGTCGCGGCTCACCATGAGGAAATGCCAGCTGCTGTCATTCACCTGCTTGTTTGACAGCACAGCAGTCTCGGCGCAGTCCATGCTGATGCGGAGCTGAACACGGCCGTCCACTAGAGAGAGGCAGAGGAAGTCACAGACACCACCGTCGTCCAGGTAGAGCAGCAGCCCCGTGGAGACGTTGGTCTTGAACTGGAAACTCAGGTCGCTGCGTGTGCTGGCATCCCAGCGGAGGTAGCGGGCCCACTGGTTAGGGAGACCCGTGAACTCGAGGCCCAAGCAGAGCCCCAGCAGAGACCCCAGCAGGATGCCCACCTTCAAGGTGAAGAACACTGAGTGGAGGGTGGAGGTCATTGTGGCTGTGGGGATCGAGGCCGGAGGAGCAGCCAGCCAGGAAACGGCCCTTGGGAAGGATCTCCCTTGGGTGGTGGAATAGAGAGAGGAAAATGAGACAGAGTTGGGGGACAGAAGGAGACACAGATATTGAGAGAGTGAGGAAGGAGGAAAGAGAAGATAGTCCCGAAAGGGGACACGAGCAAGAAATCCAATGAAGAGACAGGGGAGACGGACAGGGCAGCAGAAGAGAGGACAATCGGGTGAGCGAGTAAGGGGCTGAAGTAAGCAGGAAGTGTCTTTCTCCAAGAAAAGATCTCAGCTATCCATAAGGATCCGGAGGCCCTGATTCGAGGAGGAGGAGAAGGTGCGCAGGATGGGAGGAAACCGTTCAGCAAAGTGCTCCTCCCAGCAGGCCCCCAAAGGCCCCAGCCAGGGAGGCCGGGGACAAGGCTGGGGTCAGGAGTGCCGTGATGGAGGAGGAGCAAGCCACAAGGTGAGCCAGGTGAGGTAGAGACGGGCCAAGGACCAGTCCGGAAGTCCCACCTCCTAGCAGCAGCAGGCCCAGGGAAGGGGCGTGGCCAAAGGCTGAGCGCTCAGGCAGAGCAGGGCCCTGTGCAGCGTGGTAGCAGATTCAGGTGTCATGGTGTTGGCCAGAGGCAGTCCTGCTCACAACCCACCTCCGGGGACCCCAGAGCAAAGACCTGGAGAAGGGGAGAGAGAAAGGAGCAGGGAGGAAGATTAGGGTCACAGATCCAGAAAACATTGCATCCTATTGCATTGCAAGCCAGCTCGTTTCAGTGACTTCTGCAATGGTGAGTCCTTCGAACAGAAGCACCGGTGTTCTTCGGGACTGCTGAGCCCTGTTCCTAATGATCCACTTCGTTTTTCCATATGCAGAACTGGCGTAAAATCCACAAGCCACATCAGAACATTTTTATACTATTCACACAGTCAAATTTAAATCTTTTAAATGCTAACATTTTACACACTCAAATGTCCACATCTAGCTTTTACTTATTTACCTATTAAAAGATACAGATTTTTCATATTTTTTTTTCAATTATCAAGCAACTGCTTGAGCATAGAAGGCCTAAGACAAATTCCTACCTTTAGGTTTTTTAAGTAAATATTTATGAAAATCAATTAGAAGGTGAGCAGTGAGCATAAAACCCCTTATCACTTACTAAATTTTACAAGAAAAAAAAAGCTCTTTCAGGGAAAAAAAAAGTGCTTTGACGTTAAAAAATAAAAAAGGCTGAGTTTGAGTTCTACCTCCTTCATGTGGAACTTAAAAAAAAAACATTTAATATATTTGAGCTTCAACTTCTTCATTTTTCTAGTTCCTATATGTAGAACCTCAAGAAAAACATTTAACTTATTTAAGCTTCTATTTCCTCATTTGGAAAACAGAGAAAATAACAGCCACTTTCCATGATTAAAGGAAGGATTAAACAAGATAGGTGTGGGGAGATCCCAGCATGAAACCTTATTTGTAGTATAAAATGATCAATAAATACTAGGTCCCTCCTTTTTTATTTCTGGAATGGGAAGGGCTTGGTGGAGGAGCTGCTAGTGTGTGTGGGTGGGGAAGCCCGATGTATAAAAACACAATACTTTAAAAACCATGGTGACCACAGAACTGGTAACAACTGCATAGTTAAGAAAAGCCACAGGCCAAGAGTAAATATATTCAAAGGGTGAGCACTTACTCAAGTTAGTGACTAGGTTTCTAAGGGCAAACACTGGCCCACCTAACTAAGATAAGTGAGTTCTCTGTCCCAATGGAAATGAATCTATAATTTCTAAGAGCTGGCAAGGCTCTGCTTATTATTTGGCACATCTGATAGGTCACTATGGTGCCCGTCAGGACATCGCTCTTCGTTATTTTATGATGACCACACCGGCAAAACTGGTTCTTAACCATACTTCTTTGAAGAGGGTAGGTATTTCCGTTAACCAGGTACCAACCCCTACACCCGAGGTCCAAACAAATTCTGTCGACAGCAAGCTGCTTAGATCCACCATAAGGGAACTGTTGATTCTATAAAAGATTTTGTCAAAGAAGTGTTTTCTAAAGTGTGGCATCTTATTCCTGGGGTGCAAGTGATGCTTAACAGGAACATGGACATGGTGTGTGCTGGTGCCAACTCATACAAGTTTATGTGAACCAGCTGCGAACATTTATTCATACATGTTTGCAATACATAATGATTACATTTATCATTGGGAGTCTGTATATAACACCTTTGAATTCTTTTTTTCATTCATCTCCCCTACCCCTCCCATCCCTCTCTGCTCCTTCCATCTCAAGGTGTCCTTCCCATTTGCAAAGGCTCTATTTCCATTCTTTCTTTCAATTTTTATCCCCTTTCCTTACTCTCCCTCCATCTCTCGTTTTGATCCTTCAAAAGAGATCACCCGGTGCTCACTTCGGCAGCACATATACTAAAATTGGAGACCACCCGATGGGTGTGGTGGCACACGCCAGTAATCCCAGCACTTGGGACGCTGAGGCAGGAGGATCGCTGTGAGTTCAAGACCAGCCTGGGCTACATAGTGAGCTTCAGGGTAGTCTGCTAGAG